CGAACCAGAGGAAGCCGACAAAAAAACTTATATCGTCATGATATTTATCCATCGGAACAGAAAGTAAAAGTCCTATGAATCTCATTTAAAAACTTTGGGACATTTTAGCCTTAGTTTTTTTTAGAAAGACGAATATAACGTATGAAAGACATTAACTCTTAAGCAAAAACGAAAAGATAAAGAAACTCTAGAACAATTTTGGGGAGCGTTAGCAGAAATGGCTGAGAGATGCGACGTCTCCAGCGGAGAGGAAAAACGGTATACTGCACAATTTCTCAAGTAATATGAAAACTATATCCAGAATAGTACTTACGGAAATTCTATCTCCAATGGGTGCCCAAACATAGCTTTCATAGAACAGAAGGAAAATCGTAATCAAGTAGAAATGACCAACAACTTCAGAAAATTTGCACATTAAAACAACAGAAGACATTTTTTGTCTAGAAAAACCCACCACTGAGATCGAAAGGGCGAATTTATTTCTAAACGCGGCGGAAATTTTACGAAAGGTCACTTACCAGTCTGTCCAGCCGAATATGCTACCTGCCAAATTTGAAAATACATAGGGCATTTCACAAAAAACTGTAAACTGAATTGTGAAAAGGTAAACTTAGTAAGTAAATTAAATAGCACAGAAGATGAAGATCGGTCCAATTACCCTGGTGTAAGTTTAGATCACGTCCATAGAGAATTGGAAACATTTCTTGTTTATTTTGTTATCTCGATGATTTTTTTAATTGCCTACTAAAGAAAACTTTCTGAACATAAACAAATTTCAAAAAGAGTCTTATCAACACAAGATGGCTATAACTTCGCGGTTAAATGACCAAAACACTCAATTTTTCCCGGTGAAAATGAATGGCTCGGATTTGTATTCGACAACGCGGAGGTAAGCCCGCTGGTAGACAAAAAACAGGCCATCAAGACCATTCCTATCACAAAAAAAACAATGAAAAACTTACTCTACTTTTTCGGTTTCACGAACCAAAATAATAAATTCGCTTCAAATCTCACAACGTTAGGCAGGCCTTCAAGACCTTTACTGAGTTGAAAGTCAATTTTTTTGGAGCGAAAACCATATTGTCGCCTTTCAACAGATCACAAAAGAGATCATTAACCTAACCTTAAACGTAAAACTTCAAACAGGGGTTAAATAAAAAACTTCACACAAAGGACTACGTGCTTCTTTAGAACAACTCCATGGGAGCAACTGGAAAGCTGTCTCTTCTAGACCCCCGCGAATACAAAATTCTAGCGAACGAGTTGGAAGCAACAGGAGTAGCATGTAAAATTCGAAGCTATGACTGGCTATAAAGCCCTAACTTCTGCCTTATCCACCGAACACAGCAATAAAACGTATCACAGCAGAATTACCCGTTAAGTAAATTGGCTAAAATCTAAACTTTTTTCAGTTAAACAGTAGGCGGGTACGGAAATGAGATTTACGGACCTAAACTCAAGACTTCTGTCGAACAAAACTGTCATAATTTCAAGCTACGATGAAGATTTTGTAGTGGCAACGGTTTCAAAAACTAAAAAAGCATCGAATCCATCAGATAAATTCTCAAAATACAACTGTAACGCATTTGTCTCTAATTTTAAAGGTTCCAGAAGTGCCGTTTTACGTGACAAAATTATCGCTTCAGTTTCAAGATTTAAAAATTCCCGTATCCAAATTTGAAACTATAAACACAGTCGTTCATTATTTTGTTCATCAAATTGTATTTTTTGGATTTTACCGACGCTGACCTTTCAAAACATCTAAATCTGAGTTTCTTCAATTTTTAACCTCGAATTATAATTTTATTCATTCCAGATTGATTTTAAAAGTATGAATTCTGTAAATAAGTTCAATAACAAAATTGTTATTCATTCTTTGAAATCCGGTCTAGTTATTTCCGTTAACAGAGACAAAATAAACCCATCTCACTTAGCACTGGTAAAAAAAATACCGACAATCCCTGGAACTGCCCGACAAACCCATAGATATAACTTTCTTGTTCAATAGAAATGTATTATCTTTACTTAATGACGAAGACGAATTGTTTTTTTTTCCACTAGTCAAGGCACTCAACGGCAGAATGGACCTAAAAATGCAAATATCGGGCATATTTTCACCATTACATCAAAGATTTTCAGGAATTCGACGGAGTACTATATATGGATGGTAAACTAGTTATTTCTTTCACTTTGAGAATTGCAATGATGAAAATTCTACGTCAACTAACCGGAATGAAGTTCTTAGCAGATTGCATCTTGTGGCCTCAAAAAACTCCTAGCCATGTTCTTCAATTTTCGTAGCCCTTCGCTTAACGATGCTGTTTCACGTATTATCTGTAACCTACATTGATCAATTCAATCACTCATCAAATTTTCTCCCTTTGAAAAAATTTTGCAAGAAAATTTAACACTATATAGAAATCTTTAACATCTCATAAACTAATTGACCTTTAAGACATAGGGAAGTCCATCATTGCAAAGAATAGGGCAAAAACTGGGGATCCAAAGACAAAATTGAAGGTGGACAAGAAGACAAATCTATCCCTCATAAGAAAAGAGATCCATTGGACAAAGATACGATTCAGAAGACGAAACCAAAACTACCTCAAACAACAGAATGCCAGTGGATAATCATTTTACTAAAGATAACATTCTTCGTACGGTTGAAATTGCATCGTTAGGATCACACTATGAACCTCTTAACCAGCAAAATCGTAAACTCTTCCAAATTTACTGTCAGTTAACCGGTGGAAAAAAATTCGATAATCGATACGAAAATCAAAATTGTCAAAACCCCACAATTTTAGAGGAAATGTTTCTTTCCCACTCTTTGATTATTCAAATGTCGGAGAACGTCATAACACAACCGATCTAGTAAAACATCATCCACAATCTCCAAAAAAGCCTGCTCTCATTCAGTGTTCCTCAAAGTCAGGAAGGCCATAAGCAAGGACAGGGCTCAGATTGAGATTAAACCGAGGGAATGTACCAATAAGAAAAGGCAGGCAAAGGCATCCAGGATTACCACTAGAAAAGCATCAAAAAAGGTTAAAACATCGGGTTATTTCGCTTGTGACGATTCTTGCTCTATTCCCTCGGGTTCTTCCGATCTTAGCGAATGGAATTGGTCAGTGGGAGACTTCTCCTCTAGAGATGTAGGGAGGGAGAGATCAACTTTCTTTAAAAGGTACTGACTCGGATTATCAAAAAAAAACATAACATCCCACAGATGAACGAATGCCCAAAATCATTCGTGCCAGCAGTTCCGAAGGACGAGAAGACTATCAACATTTCTACAAACTCCAGTGAACCTCACTCCCGAAAACTAATCAATGGAACAAGAATCGTAATCTGAAGACATTCTTGTGTTCGAAATAGCCGACTCATCGGAAGAAATTGAGATTGAAAACCAAATCAGAAATTCCCACAAACTTTGCTTCTTAAATCATCTCACGTTGCCAGTCTTTCAAAGTTTTCTGGTAAAAAAAAATTTCAGAGACATTGCAGATCAAGCCGGATCAACTCAGAACCCAGTGGTGATTGACCAATCTACAGATACCTCAGCTTCACACGAGGAAAACAGAAGGTAATGCTTTGCAGCAATCTCACGCTTCCTGATCACTAAGCAAAAGACCGGAGCCTCATTGCCAACAACAACCCCGTCGGATGCTCCTCCATTACCCGAGACAACCTACCCTCAGATACAATTGGACCTTGATCCATCGGATATCGACGCGGTTTCGGATATTTCAACCTCATCCTCCCTAAGAGATGAACTGGTCGGCTTCATTACTTCCTCTCAGTCAGACAGCCTAAGCCCATCGGAAACGGATCAATTCTTTTCAGGAAAATAAATTTTCAAAACTCTATAACTCAAAACCTTAGTGTGTTTAGTTTTGACGCTGAATTGTTTTTTTATTTATTCCCAATTTCGCAGAAATCTAGTGGAGACCATTTTACTAACTTGCCTTACATTAAGTGTTTTATTACCCATTGCTTTGACCTAAATATTAAACTTTTTTTATTTTTCTTCTTTTTAATTACCGGCTCCGTTGGAATCATTGTGTATGCACCGACTTTGTTATCAAACCATTAGTGCTTATTAGTACGTTAGATTATTTCTTCTGATTTTATTAGATTTTACAAATTCACTTAATTTTTTCTCTTCTCCAGCTCATAGAGGGAAAAAGAGATATTGCAGTATTTTTGTGTTCTTGTATTCGCCTTCAAAAAAGTTTACTTAGCACGGGAAAAGTTGCGATTTAGTCAAGAAGTGATTATCTCTCCGACATTGAAAATTGTGCACATTGAGTCGGAATAGTTTCAACTTTTACTATAGTCTTCAAATTGAAAAATCCGGCAAATACTAACAAGACTGCAAAGCCTTGAATTTTCCGACTGCCCCCTAATTGGTATATAGCAGCTACTGGTACTGAAAATATTGAAAATCCATAAACCACCCCGAGCATAATTTTTCCTAACTTTTTTTGCTCTATTTTATTTCCTGCAATTCGCTTTTGTTTATTCTGTCGTGTTTGCATATTTTTCAGCTTGTTGCCAGCTAAGTCACACGAATTGGTAAAATTCAATAGTCAGCCATTCTATTTTTCATTGCGCAAACCCACAATTGGCAGACAAAAATTCTACTTAGGGGCGCCTCGGTAGCCAATTAACACTTTAGTTGTAGTATTAACGAATAAATAAATGCAAAAAAAAAATTGACGAAATAAAGCTTTACTATTGAGGAGTTAGAAAGTCAAATTAACCAATATTTCTTAAATTTATTGATCAAAAAGCATTCAATTAGAAAAACGGCAGATATAAAAAAGATTGGCGTTTTTTTTTTGCTTCAATATAACTTTAATCAGAAGAGTTGATGCAGGTAATGATTTGGCATTTTCCTTAGCGAGTTATAGCAAATGCTTGAAGAAACTATAAGCATGAAATACCGAAAAGGTATGACTTTTTATTTAGATGTGATAAAATGTGAGCTGTCGAACCTTCATGTCTGTCGTGGTGTCTGTTGTGATCACTGCTTCCTCTATGGCTGCCGTTTGTGGTAGTGGCATTAGTGTCCCCTCGGCCATGATGTCCATGATTAGAAGAGTTGTTCAAGTGTGGCTCACTGCTCCTGTTCCTGCACTCCATCACTATGTGGGGTGAACAGTGCTTGTGTGCATTTAGACCACACAAACGACACCGCACGCCCTGTTTGATCACGCCCCACAGCTGAACAAACAAAGGTTATTGTTTGAAAACAGCGGAAACTTTTGGCCGACCGACCCTAAAACTTTTCTAAAGGCGCCTTTGGCGCCAATATATACTAATTTTGAGGTGGGCGCCCGCGCCAAAAAAACGCAATTTTTTGGTCAAAATTTTCCAAAAAGTCCCAAAAAAAGCGGCGCAGAAATTTTGGCTAAGACAGGGACTAAACTGTGCGTAGGGAGAGCTCGAAAAATCAATTCGGTCGACCTAAAAAAAAGGTCGACAAAATTTTTGAAAATCCGCCCCCCCCCCCCCTCGAGAAAATCCTAGATCCGCCCCAGTTGTACATTATAGCAGAATTATTTTTAGAAAATTGTCTCAGTGTCGAGAAAACCCGACCTGATTTTTTTCAACACACACAGAAAATGAAACAAAAATGCAGTAAAAAAGCATTGGAAAAAATTTTTCTCTATTTTTTTTTCTGTATTGTTTGCCTTACTTTTGATTTTTTTCCTGCATCATTGTGGTCACAATTTTCTGGGCTACTTGCACAACAAGCAGATCTAATAATTATTATCATTATTAATTAATATTAAGTAAAAACAAATACAAACAAGCTATTTTTAGTTAAAAAGGTCCATAATTATGAATTGATGAAAACAGTTTGTAAAATATTAAGAAATTAATTATCAAGCAAAATTTCGATTGAAACATTTAATGAATCAGTTAAAAAACAATTGACACAGTATAACAAGAATAACCGGTTGCTGTGCAAGTAGCACATAATGTTCCGACCACATTCATAAAAAAACTACAAAAAGAACGAATTTTTTCTTTTCACCTTCAACTAACTGTTATTTTTTGTGCTTGCTGCGACGAGAGAACTATTCAAACGCGTATAAAATTGTAGAATCGGGCCTAATTGGCAACAATTGCCTTCAAAAAACGAATAACAAACAAAAAATAAAAACTACTGGAAAAATTTTTAAATTCGTTCTAATTTTTTGCACAAAACTTTCTTGCTCGTTTGAAAAATTGTTTTTTCAAACAAGCAAGAAGCGCTAAATGAAGCTTCCAAACCTAGTTTTACCTATACTAAAATCAAGTTTTATCAGCCTTAATCTCCAATTTTTTATATAACGAACAAGACTCGATCGCTTTACTTGCTCGAAATTAGACTAAAACTAGAAAAAAAACTTGTTTTCTCGACAATATGGCAATTTTTTTTTGAAGATTTGTGAAAATTTCTAAAGTCCTTCAAATTATGACTAAAAAATCTTTATTATGATATATCACTTAACCCGTTCTGAAAATTATTTGTGGTACCTGGTTTTGCGTAGTAATCAACATATCAAATTGTCTTCATAGCAGCAAGTAATGTTCAATCGTAATTTTCCAGAACGCTGCATTTTGGATAAGGATGTGCTTATAAATATTTTCCAGAAGTTTTCATTAATCGAGGATTTTTGTTTGTAAAATAAATCTTTTTTATTTTATAGGGAACTCTTATGTGATACAAATTTTTTTTACATCAATAAATCTAAGTTTAATGTTTTCTAATGTAATACTAGAAAACATTAATACCTAATTTCTGCTCTGAGACATTGAATTACATAAAGAAAAATGTTATAATATATAACAAAGAATATTTCGCTCTATGAAGAATACTATGCAAAGTTTTCTTGCTAATAAAAAAATGTTCGGATATTGTACTACTCGCAGGGCCGTATTGTTATTCTCTAATACGGTGGTCGATGACTCACCAGCCCTGTGCAGTGTTGGCAGAAGGTGGGCTTGAAGTAGGTGTGTTCCCCGAAGTCGTGTTTGAACTCACTTCTCAACATCACACTGTTCGCTGTCTTGAAGTACGTCTTCATCTCGTCCTTGCTAATTTTACCATCACTGCCACAAACGAACAAAACAGTTTAGCTTTTGCCGAAATTTCTTTTTTTTAAGTGAAACTTTTGAAAATGAAGTTTGCTCTGTTTAATTAAATAAACTAAGTTGCACTAAGTGTTTCTGAGGGAAACCTCTCAAATTAAATCATGGTTTTTATATAAGTAATTAGTATGATTTGTAATTCTTGAATCAGTGTAATAAAAATTAAGTGTAATTCCTGAATAAGGGGATCCGTCTTATATTGGTTCAGGCGCTGAACTCGACGTGCCATAAGAAGCTTCGAACTTCACAATAACTCGAAACTGCTTTTCTAACTATCAGAGCTTTTAATGCAAATGCGAGCATTTCAAATCTAGCTAATCACATACATCCTATAATTTTGTGCCAAGTCATTTTTTAAATTCTGAAACTTGAGTTCAAATCTGAAATTTGAATTCAATTCTGAAATACAGCTATGAAATTGCTATGTAATGTTAACGCATAGATGGTAAATTGATGCTACATTTCATGTTCAATTAGGATCTGTGAGTGAACTATTAAGTCTGAAGTATGTGCTAACTTGTTGGTGTCTAGGATGCAGAATCCGTCTATGAAGGGGTAATTGGAGGATATCTCGTTGAATTCTTCCAGAGAGATGAATCCATCACCGTCCGAGTCGTAGTTCTTGAAAACCGCCTAAACATACAGTTATAGCCAACATTACCTTAAATCAAGTTATCATACTCCGGCAAGCAGAAAAAAATTGATTTTTCACCAAGAATATTTTTTAAAATATATCAATTTATAGATAATATTTTGCTAATTGAGTTGAAATTTGTAGAAAAGAGTGTCGTTGTGGTACAGTTTTGATATATTCTTCACTACTTTTTGCGAAGAATATATCAAAAACATACCTGGGCAAAACTCTTTTTTGTATAAAACTAAATCAATCAGCAAAAAAGATAAGTTATTTTAATTTTTTGTTTTCGGTTGTTTTCTGGGCCAGTCAAAGAAAAATCCAGCAATGGAATAAATTACTAAAAACAATTCCGAAGCTTTAGGATTTTGCCATTTGAATTTTATCCACTAATTTTACGACAATCACTCCAAGGCTGGTTGATGTGCAAGAAGCGCAGTCAGTTTTTTTCACACCAAACGTTGTGAACTAACTTGCACGCAAGAAAACAGTAAGAACTTGACTGGGTTCTTGAACAAAATCAATATTTGAATTTCAAATTAAAAATTATATGGCATGATATGAGTATATGGTTGACAGTTTCATTTAGGTTAACTCAGTTTGCTAATTAATTTAACTCAATTTGATCAATTTGGATCATAAAACATTTAATTATTTGGTAAATATGAATATTGAACTTCGTTTTTGAAACTAGAAGTCAATCACGTTTTACGTGACTTTTACAACTTTTCTGTTTCAGAGTAGAGAATGCCTTTAGTAAAACAAAGAAATTGAACTTAATTTAGAGGAACCAAAATTTAAACTTCGAACAATCAAATTTGAGTGTGAACAAGTTTTAAGACAAAAAAAAACACAAAAAATCCTGAAATCTATATGAAAGGTTTTACTGCGTTAAATGATGATTGAAATTGTTTTGATTAAACCATTTTTGGCTGAAAATTTTTTGATTAAACTAATTGAACTGGAGACAACTGGATCGATAAAATTTTTCTCCGCTAGGATATCTGAAAATTAAAAATCACTTTCACAAATAGAAGTAGATTCCCTTTTTTTCTGTGACTTTTCATTTTTGCTTTTCGACACTGGAGTTAAATTTCTTTTTGATACAGAAAATGAGCTGAACCTACAAAATATGAAAAATCAAACAGCGAAGAATCACAGTTAAGCGTGAACAAACATTAAGACATTTTCCTGAAAGAAAACGAGCGAAAAAATCACCTAGCACTAGATGAGAGTCCTCTAATAGCCTTTTTTCATTAGCGTTTTCGGAACGAATTAATTAGCAAATCAAGGAAAATTTGGCACTTCAATTTCTTCCGCTGAAAATGATTACTAGTATTTTGGGCACTTATTTAGGCGCTAAAACATTAAATCAAAAAACAATAACCTTCAAACTCTTTTTTATGACAGTAATTTTAACAATCTCAAAATATATCATAGCGTCTCAAACTGAATTTCAATTTTTTTTTACTACTTGGACCTTTCGCTAATTTTTGTATGTATAATGCAAAAAATCTTCGATTTCTTTGCATGTGGTCGGAAATAAGGCATACGTGTGAATGGTAATGAAACAAAGTTTTTTTCGAATCAACCATTAGCTATTAAAAACATTTCTTGAATTTTTTATTGTATTTTTTCTAAACTTTAATAAAAAAGCGGAAATTTTCAGAAAAAATTCTAGAATCAGGACAAAACAATGTAATTTCAAAAAAAGATCTCTGAAATTTTGAAAGAGGTTTTTCTCGTTAAATTTTCCCCCACATCAACCCAATGACAGTTAAAAACACATGTTTCGTTTTTAGTAATAAGTTATTTGCAGCAATGAAGTTGCCTCAATTCAACTTTGAATGATTCAATTCGCCGCAGACTGGAATTAACAAACTGGGATGCTGCGCGCACTAATTTTTGTCAATTGTTCTAATCCCCACTACTTTGCGAAAAATAGTCTAGGGTTTTAAACACTTTTCAGATGATCTTAACATAACGACAGCTATTTGAAAAGAGGAAAGTGAAAAAAAAATCATTAGATGGTAAATTTCAGTCATTTATTTTGAAAATCGAAGCAATAAATCTTGATCGATATATTGCAGAATTTTAACTTGAAATCGATTATAAAATTTTTAAAGACTAACAATTTGTGAAAAAAAAACGCCATAAATTCATTCGAAAACGAATACACTTGTGAAAGAAGAAAACATTTGATCGCATTTTCTGCTTTTCAAAAATAACTTGAACAGAATTTTTGCCCTCGTTTATTCAAAAGTATTGCTAGAAGGACTTCAAAAACAATAACAAAATACCACTTTTTTAAATTACATTTGCTTTAATTCATAAAACATATTCAATGAAACTTTCGAAAATTATATTTACACGTGGAACAATCAAAAGACAGAAACACTTAATGTTTTATTGGTAACTTTCTGTTGAACTGGTCGTAAATAACACCTGAGTTAATTGCCCGAAAACTGAAAAATTTCTCCAAATTATATTCTAGCGGGAAAAAATTGTTTGCGTTTGAAAGCGCTCAACTATTGACAAAAATAAAATTTTGAATGCTTAATCAATTAGGTCTCTGGGATAGCAAAATATGATCTTCTGAGTGCGTCGGTTTTTCGTATGTTTCAAAGTAATCGTTTCCTGTGAACTCTCTTTGAGTTTCTCACATTTTAAATTTAATAAAAAACGTAACTTTGATAAAATCTTTTAATTATAATTTAAAATTCTTTCAAAACTCGACCCCCTCGCCAACCAGAGGACCCCTTTGGTCAGGGTGGATGTAGGGAGGGCGGACGCTTCCCATCAGAGATTCGACCCCCTGCCGACCCAAATGGTCCTACCTTTGAACTATTTTGAGACATCGATTTTTGGCTGACGGACACTAAATTATGTACTAAATTTAGGGGGGAGCGCGCGCCGAAAAAACGCAATTCTTTGGTGAAAAGTTTCCAAAAAGTGCCTAAAACGCCTTTTTGGCAGAAATTTTGGCCAAAACAGGGACTTTTAGTGCTTTGTGAGAGCTCGGAAAATCAATTTGCTCGACCTAAATAAAAAGTTCGAAATAAATTTTTTCTGCCCCCCCCCTCGAGAAAATCCTAGATCCGCCCCTGCTTCATAGTGTTCTGGGAGCGCTCGGATAATCAAGTTGGTCGACCTAAAAAAAGGTCAAATCAAAATTTGGGAATTTAAAAAAAAAAAAATTCGAAAAGTTTGTCGGCCTTTTTTTAGGTCGACCAAATTGATCTCCCAAACCACTATAAAGATCGTATTTTAGCCAAAATTTCTGCGCCGCAGGCAAAATTTCGACCAAAAAATTGCGTTTTTGTGGCGCGCGCTCCCCCTCAAAATTAGTATAGATTGGCGCCAAAGGCGACTTTAGAAAAATTTTAAGGTTAGTCAGCCAAAAATGAATATCTCAAAATAGTACAAAGGGGGGACCCTTTGGGTCGGAAAGGGGTCGAATCCCTGAGGGAGGGGGAGTGTCCACCCCCTCCCCCATAAATCCGCTACTGCGTGTGAACATAATATACAATATCTTACCTCGACCATACATGTGAACATAATATACAATATCTTACCTCGACTGTACATGTGACCATAATATACAATATCTTACCTCGACCGTACATGTGACCATAATATACAATATCTTACCTCGACCATACATGTGACCATAATATACAATATCTTACCTCGACCGTACATGTGACCATAATATACATATCTTACCTCGACCATACATGTGACCATAATATACAATATCTTACCTCGACCATACATGTGACCATAATATACAATATCGTACCAAGACCATACATGTGACCATAATATACAATATTTTACCTCGACCATACATGTGACCATAATATACAATATCTTACCTCGACCGTTTATGTGACCATAATATACAATATCTTACCTCGACCATACATGTGACCATAATATACAATATCTTACCTCGACCATACATGTGACCATAATATACAATATCTTACCTCGACCATACATGTGACCATAATATGCAATATCGTACCAAGACCATACATGTGGCCATAATATACATTATCTTACCTCGACCATGCATGTTAGGTGTCGGTCCAGAGTCTGTGAGTCCAGACTAGCAGTGACCCCTGCAGCCCAATCTGCGAACACTTCCGGACGGTGGGTGGTGTTCTGCAAAGAAACTACGCATGATATTTGAAAATATAAAAATTGCATCGCAAGAAGATGTTTTTGCTAATTAGGTCAAACTTTGAGCAGGCTATTTAAATTGATTTTTAGTGAAGTGAATGAGATTTTTGCTTTTAAAATTCTGAACGACTAGCTTTTCAAACTGTATCGATTTATTTTGGCTTTTACAAAAAAAAACGGTTCGCTTCTTTTCTAACTGTGAAATATGCGTTTTATTTCTAAAAATATACATAGAAGCTGTTTGTTTTTAAATGTCATCGCTGAAATGTTCGATTGGAAACAACGATCGGATATGAATTCAAATTTAATCAACTGTCATCTTATCAATTTCCGATGCATTATTTGAAGCTTATCTTCATTAGTGGAATACAAACCAAAAAATCTAATTTCAGGAAGTATAGCACTTAACTCATCCGTCTTTGGGGCTAGAACCATAGTTATTTATAGATGCATTAAATTATTTGAGCCCGTCGGAGACACTAATTAAGCTCTGCCCTTTTGAAAAAACCTGTCTGTCTGCTGCCAATTTTAGTTTTGCGATTGTAGTTATGACCTGTTATTTAGATTTGCGCCGCGATTTTAAACGCAAAAATCATAGCCGATCATTATAACCTGAAAATCAAAATATTCAAGCAGTTGCCTGATCGAAAATGGGACAACTTTTCATGTTTTTTTTCCAGCTCAGCTCAAATAATGACCAATGAAGCGTCAACGCGATACACCAGTAAAACCAGTAAAAAAATTTTGAAGTAAACTGACTTTTTTGGAGATAAACTGGGTTAGCAATATTAGAACATCAATGTTTTTGTGGCCAGAACAAAAATACTTCAGGTCAGACAAAAGATCAACTTTCCAAAACGTTTCCTAAAACCGTCGTAGCAGAAACTTTTGAAGCCCTGACTAACCAAAAGGTCTCCCTTTGGCAAGTCTTTAAGATATTAGACGATAAATTTTCTAAAGTTTTTGGCGCCAATATAGGCTAGCTTTGAGGTGGTAGCGCGCGCCAATACAACGCAATTTTTTGATCAAAACTTTCCAAAGAGTATCTCAAAACGCCCTTTTTGGCCTATTTCTTCAAAAACTTTTTTGTTCAACAGTTTTCAAATAATTTTTCATTTTGCTTACGGTATGCTTTCCGGCCCACGTGAACAATCTTTCCCTTAATAGACCAAGTGCACAATCTCCCCAACATGGCAAAATTAAGCCGTAAGGCCTGCATGCACTATACTCAAATGTGAGTGGGTGAAAAATATTATTTTTAACCAAGTGAACAATCTCCCCCCAAAAATGATTTACTGGGTAGATTGTTCACTTGGTCCTGTTTTCCGTATTCTCTCCACCCAACAAAACCAAATCCCTTGCTAACTTATATATTTTTTGGTTGACCTTTGAGTGGTTCGTCGGACGAGGGTATTTACTTACAGATGTTCTCGGCTCTCGTGCCAGCGACAGTTCGTATATCTCATTTTCAGTGTACTTCAGACACAGAAGCGCGGGCTGAAAAAAAGACATCATTGTTTTACATTTAAATACAAAAGAAAATTTCTAACAAAATTCTTCAATTAGAGAATAATCCCGCCTTCAATTTGTTTGTCATTTACAACCTTTTCATTATACTCAACAACGCGTTTGCAGTATATGCAAAGGAAGCCTTATTACCACCCTTTAGTGGTTCATAAAATTTGTCTTTTTCAAAATAAAAGCGAAAAAAGAGCCCGAATTGTTTGTGTAGTTTAAATGTCACGCTAATTATTATTACTGAGATCCTATTGTAGTAGAATTCAAAGGTGCTTGAAGCTGCTACATCCTTTTCCTGATTATGAATTAGAATTTTGCAGAATTGGTGCAAGCAAGTAAAATAATTGTGACCCTAAAGCTAAACTTTCACGGATTTTGTTGAAGGAATTCGTGTAAATTGTAATTAAAATAAATCAAAAAATCTAGTCACGTGTTTAAGCAAATCAATCCATAAAACTTTGAACTCTCATAACGTCTCTGCAAGTGAACAAAAGAAATTTTTGAGGCCTTTTATATTTCATTTGTTTTCCAGAACAAAAAAATTCCGCTAAAACATCTATTGTGGATTAACGATAGTTTTGAATCGTTTTCCAAAGTGAATCTGTTTTTGGCAGGAAAAGCTCAATCAGCAAAAAAATCTAGCTCATTTCTTCTTGCAACTTTTTTTGAGATGAGTTCAATTAAAATCGACCCATTAAAATAACAACTTGGGTACCGTCTTTGCTCTTAAGCAAGTATTTTTGAAGGTCTTATATTTCGTTCATTCTATAAAACAAAGAAATCAGCAAAAAAATTCCCGAGTGGTTAAAGATAATTTTGCATCGTTTTGCAAAATGAGCATGTTTTTTAATTTAGATAAAAAGCACTATCAGCGAATAATTTATTTTCAGCCTGCCAAATTCTCTTGTAATTTTTCACAATATTAGTTCAATCAGAACCGACCTTTGAAAAAGTGAGCTCGCGTACTCTTTTTGTAAGAAAACGAAGTGTGTTCTTGAGCGTATTTTGCAACAATTTGATATGCAAAAAATCTCTCGTGATTAAATGAGGTTTGCGTTGTTTTGCAAACTTATTATGTTTTTTCGCGAGAAAAAACCCTATCCAAAAAAACTGCTGTCTAATTTTCTTTCCAAACTGCCATACTCCTTGGATTTTTTCAACATAATCGTGAACCAAATAAATAAAAGCGCGTAAAAAATTTGCAAGTAATAAATTTGCAAGTCTTTCAAAAATTTGCAATTTGCAAGTAATAAACCATTTTGAAATTTTGAAAGTCTGATATCTTATCATTTTTCTGCTGAATTAAAAAAACAGTGAAAGAAAATCTTGTTAAAAGTTGATAGCTTTTTTCAAATCAACTTCAATTGACATTTAAAAATCTGAAATCGCGGAACAACTTTGCAAATATTTCTTTAAAGTAATTTTTGAACCCCTTTTACATTTGACTTTTTATAGATCAAAGCAAAAAATCTGCAAAAGTTCACTGAAGAAAAAACACGGTAATCGTATAGTATCCCCTAGAATGCGAAATTCTGCTGCATATTTTTAAGATACTAATCCAAGTAAAATTTATCATTAAAAACAAAAATTCTCGTGCAGTTTTTCCTATTTAAAAAAAACGTTTTTGAAGGACCATTATATTTTATGATTCAATCAAATCAAAAATCTACGAAACTTTTGCCGTAGATAAATGATAGTGTTGCATCGCTTGGCAAAATAAAACTTAAGTGATTGGAGAAGAAATGCACTGTTAGCAAATAAAGCAAGCCAAAATTTTCCAAACTGCCAAACATTTTTTCAAGGACATTTTAATTTTTAACAAAAAGAAGTTATTATTATAGGGCTTTTTTTCGTTTATTAATATTAAAAAATCAGCAAAAAGCCTCTCTTGTGAACAAAATATTACTGTGCGTTTTTAGAAATTTGAATTTCTGAGAGTTTTGAAAGGAGAAAGCCCTATCAGCAAAAAATTATTACTGAAAATCATTCAACCCGCCAAACTATTATAAAAAAAAACATTAAAAAACATCTCAAGTCGACAAATGATAATTTTGCATCGCTTAGCATCTGATTATGTTTTTTGGGAAACAAAAAACTCTCTCAGCAAATAAACATCATAATCTGTTTGAACCAGACAATTTCTGCTTGAGCTTCTATGAAAAAACCATCAACTAAACCCGACGCAAATGTTGTGAACTCACGCATCGTCTTTCAATTTCCTCATAGATAGTATTGTTTTGGAGTATTCATAGGTTTAATTAACGTTTGAATTTGAAGAAATCAACAAAAAAACGTCTATAAAAAGATATTTTAGCAAGTAATTATGTTTTAAACCCCAGCTGTTTTTCCAAACAAAATGTTTTTCTTGCTACTTATCGTAGCTAAAATAGATCGAGACAAATCAACCAAAAAGGAATTTTGACTTTTGTTTGAACAATTAAGCCAAAAAAATATTGAAGACTCGTTTCAGTTCAATCTTTTTTTGAAACAAAATATCAGAAAAAACCATCGCTAGTGAATAAACCATTATAAACAAAGTTTTGCTGAAAAAAAAACCTGATGAAAATATGCTAATTTTTTTTCAAATTGCCAATATCTCAGGCAACTTTTTAGTAATTGGTTGTGCACTTTGCTACCACACAAGAATTTTTTTATTGGAATTCAAAAAACAAAAAAATGTAACGAAAAATTCTGATTTCTGATTCTATTTGAAAAAATAGAAAAATCTTACAAAAAAAATCAGAAAAAAATTCTGACTTCTGATTCTAATCGAATCAAAAATTTTTGATTCTAATTTTGTTTTGTTCCAATTTCTGCAAGAATTTTTTTGTCAGTAAACGAGGATTGAAAAAGGTTGAAAACTGCATATATAAAACAAGATGCGAAATGACAGTTTTGGTACAAAATGCGGTATTTTGATCTGACGGCTTTATTTAAATCAGTTAGCACCTCTATTAAAATTAGAGATATTTACATTTTGCGCTTAGATAAAACAGAAAACAATTGCTCAAAAGTTATTCCAAAATCTATTTTGGTTAATTTTTTAATTCCCTAAGTTTCACAAAAAGTGAGACTTAAGTTACCTATATCTCAAATCTGTTACATAACAATGTTGCAAAAATTACTTAAATAGCTCTTCTTTTCCAACGGTGGGATAATAAAAATATCGGCTCTTTTGTTTGTTTTTGTTCAAATCTGTTCGATTGTTCACACGAACATGTTTTATTAAGATTTATTAAATCAAAATTCACTTTGAATTACCTTTAGGCTAAATTTAGACAAGTTTCAGCAAAAATTGAAAATAAAAACCAGGAAAAAGCCAAGAGATCCACATTTACCTGAAGATCCACATTTACCTGAAGTATGTTGATGAGGTACCTGAAGATCCACATTTACCTGAAGTACATTTACCTGAAGATCCACATTTACCTGAAGTATGTTGATGAGGTCTGTGTTGGGCTCTATGTGGGGGGCCATGTTGTGTAGACCTGTGAGTTTCTCGAAGCACTTGGCGAGTAGTGCCATCTTTCTGGTGTTTATATTCCCCGTCTGGGTTCTGTCAGGCAGGGCAGTGTTAATCGCAATCAAGTCTTTCAGGTGTACTCCTCTAAAAAAAAAATTTTTATTCACAGCAAAATTAAGGAGAGATGGTTAATTAGCTGACACTTCTTCCCTGCCACCACTATGAGCCCTGGTCCAACCACTGGTCAGACCCGGGTAGACAGGCGCGATAGACGCGACCCTCGAAAGTTTGGACCTACGCTACGGACCACGCTCGCAGACATGAACACGGGTGGTATGAATTTAATTACTTACAGTATTGGCAGATGGAAGCTCTCTTTGCCCTTCATAGTGTGCAGCAGTTGTCTGTACTGGGCGAAGTTGCTCTTGGCCGAAATGAGGGAGGTCAGTTCAGCTATCCGACTGTGCACTGAGATGGGCACCACTCTCTGGGTCCTGCTCAGTCTCGAAACCGAACTGCCACTCAGAGCTCCCACTATGGCCATCAGGGTGTTGTAGTTACGCAGCGTCAAAAGCACCTACAGAACAAGCAGAAACACTTCCAGTTTCTTCCACAGTAGAGATCTTTTAAACTACCACCCGAAAGAGGTTTTTCGTTACTAGGTGCATAATTGATCCGACCAATGATAATGGGAAGAAACTTCGTCTTTGGGGGGTGTTTTAGTTTTTTTAATTTTCCCTTTCTTGTTCTTTTGTTTCTAGTTTTTTTTTGTTAGAAGCTTCACTTAGAGCTTCTTGGCAAAAAAAATAATTCAAAACACCGAAAAAAGTTTTTGCAGAAAATAGAAAAAAATTTGAAAAAAAATTCTTACGTTTTTTTTCATTTGTTTTTGTTATTCTTTTTTCGAAGACAACTACTGTCAAAAAACTTATATCACGTACGTTCTACGCCTTTGTATACACTTCCTAACATAAAAAACAAAACGACACTATATATAAAAAAAATGTTTTTAAAGCTATTTTTACAAATGTGGCCATGAACGTTATGTGTAATACTTGCATAGTAACCGACTATCCTCATTCGCAAATGCTTATCCCGTTATTTCGATCTTTTTAAGGGTGCATTTTTAGACTTATCACTCTAAAAGGGAATTGATAAGAGATCCGATAAAAATTAATTGGTTAATTCCAATCTCCGAGTATTGTCAGTGAACTTGAGCTCTTCATATCACCCGAAAAAAAAAACATTTTGACGTACTGTACCACGTGATCAAGTACTTTTAGAGTCAATTGGCATTTCATAACGCTGAATGTCATTTAGATGTCTTCATCAAAAAAGCTGTTGCACGCAACTTGGCGTTAGCTTTAAAATTAGAGCATTAAGCAAAACAATAAGAATTTAAAAAAAAAAAACTGTTTTCATATTAAAAACTATTCAACAAAAAATTTTCTATTTACTTTATTCTGATACGTAAATTTCAAATTAATCGCCTAGTAACAATAAAGTTTCAAATCACCATAAAATATTGGATGACCCCTGTCTTTAGGAAAAACAAGATACACCATTTTGTTTATCTGTAGTATACAGATGTTTTTATTCGGCTATCTTTAAAATTGACAGCTCTATCACAAAAATCTGCATAAAATGTATAAAATTGATGGATTTTTGTCTTTAGACCTGTTCTCGTTCAATTTTTTCAGTGAAATTAATGGTGGCTTTGACTTTTTAAACTCTGTTTTACCTCAATTTTTTCAGTGAAATTAATGGTAGCTTTGATTTTTTAAACTCTGTTTTACCTCAATTTATTGCATAAAAACCCAAAAAATACAGCGCTGATTTAAATTATCGAAACGAACAAAACTTGAATTTCAAACACGTTTTCCTCAAATTGGGTTAAGATTAGACAAAAAAAGGAAGAGAACAAATGTTGCTCAGAATTTCATCAGGATTAATATGATGCAATTTTTTCTCCGAAATTCTCAACCAAAATTTTACCCCAAAAATGGTTCATTTTGGTTTTTTCAATTAATCAAGAATTACGCTGAAACTATTTTGTTAATTGATGAGGAATATGTATCACAAGAAGCCACTTACACAGCCCAACAAAGTTCTAGAAGGGTTAACTCTCCAAAAAGTTGAGTAACTGTTTGAAATTTGTTTTTAATCAAAAATTTTGGGTTTTATATAGTAAAAATCCCGTTTCTTGACTATCAAGCAAAAATATTTTCTCTTAAACAGGGTTTTGCAGATTCAACCCTGCTAAAACTTTGTTGGGCTGTGTAAGAGGCTTCTTCCTCATCAATTAATAAAATAGTTTCAGCGTAATTCTTGATTAATTGAAAACAGCCAAAACGAAACCATTTTTGGGGTAAATTTTGGTTGAGATTTTCGGAGAACAAATTGCATCATATTAATCCTGATGAAATTCTGAGCAACTTTTGTTCTCTTCCTTTTTTGTCTAACCTTAACCCAATTTGAGAAAAGCATGTTTGAAAACTCAAGTTTTGTTTATTTTGTCCGGATAACCATAACTAATAATGTTTTCGCCTGAAAATGAATATCAAGATGAAGTCTTCAATTTTTTGTATGTGAACTCGAATCAAGTCTTAAAATCTAATTTTGCGTCTATGTGAATTTACAACTTTTAAAATAAACACTTTTGTGTGCCATAATCAGTGTCTTTTAAATTTTTATCTCTTACTACATTTGATATTTTGTTGGAGTTCATGTTTTTGGTTTTGTCTAAAGTCAAATTGGGTTTTTTCTATCAAATCTGCTTTTTTTAAATTTTCTCGTTGTATGTTGAAATTATATATTTTTTGCTTCTCTACTGTCCTTTTCTCGTGTAAATTTTTGTTTTCAATAAGTGGTCAGTCATTGAATGTTTGTATTAAAAGGAGCGGGCTTGAGGATCAAATACTGACCCTGGAATACTTTGCGTTTTTCATAATTTGATCCTACTTTGGCTCTTTGCGATCTCTACGAATTTCAACAATATTTGGATGGGAGTTTGCAGTTCACATTTCCAGCTTTTTTTGGTCGATTTTAATGTCATAACTATTAGATAAAGCCGGGTTGCTAGATTTCATTCGACAAAAGTCGAAAATCAGAAGGGCAAAGAACGACAGCTGTGAAAACGACTCAAGTTATTTCGCGTCATTAAGTAAAATATCAATGAGTAAATTGGCTTCAGCTGAAGAAACTGAAAAAGCAATGAAGCAATTATGCATTGGGAAGTTTTCATAACCAAAGCATTAATAGACTGTTGCTGTGCAAATTGCACAGAATGCTCCGACCTCTTGCGCAGAATGCTCATAAAAAACTTTTAAAAAATATTCAAAATTTTACTGACTAAGTTTTTAAATTAAGATTGTTGCTAGTGATTGATTTAATGAGAAAAAACTAGTAAAATAATCAGCAACAGGTGTATTCAAAACAAAATAACAGCTAATAAGTGGAATAAAAATTCTAAAATTTTTCTCACATCTTTGCACGATTATTTGAAAATTTTTCAAAATTAAAGGAAGCGCCAAATGAATTTCCAAAACAGGTAACCTAAGCACAAACGACTGGATGGGCCTCATCATGCTACATTGTTCGATCATCCCGATGATTAATTGTGGTAGCTGATTTTGCGTCGAAAAAAAAACTAAAACAACCAAAATACGAAGCTCCTCCCCATTATCAGTGGCCGGACAATGATCAATTATGAATAAATTGATTTTAGTTTTCAGTCAAACTGAATACAAAATTATATCATTTGATTTGGAGCTGATTTTTCTGCAAATTGTTTGCCTATTTGCAAATATACCCCAAGAATTGAAATGGTTTTTGAAGAAATTCACTCAGAATCATACGAGCTTCGACATAAGGAACTTTTATAACTTTGCTAAGAGAAAAAAAAAGTATCGTCTCAATTCAAAATCCGTCGGAAAATTCGCCGTCACTTTTAGTGTCATCCAGTTCGGTGTCTGAAATTTGGTCTGAAAACCAAAAAAATTAGGTCAAGTGTTCTCAACACTAAAAACAATTATAACCCTGATTTGGATTCCAAAAAAATCATATAAGTGTTTTCAGTGTTGAGAAAACTTGGCCTGATTTTTTTTGTGTTTACAGACCAACTTGATTACACTGCACTTGAAAAACAACTAAATGGCCCTGAAAATGACACCCGTAATTAGTAGAGGATATATAGATTTGAAAGATCTAAGAGCTCAGCCTGTTAACTTACGTCCGCGACCCTCTGGAACTTAGCGATGGTGTCCGCCCTCTCTCTCGGAGTAGTTCCAGACAGAATCATGCACTGGATCCAGGAGCAGAGTCCATTGAACTGGGCAATACTCCTCTCCAGCCGGGGACTATCTGTCAATTTGCCTGTTAGAGTGTAGCTCTTGTACTCGGCAAACTGAACAAAAATCATCCTTTAACATTCGATAAAATCATTTCGATACAACATGAACAAGACTGCGCGTATATCAAGGCTAAGCGCTGATTGTTCAGACTGCCTTCTATCCTCGCTCATAACCCGAATTTGAGTATAATTGATGTTAATCAATTATAATGGATTACCGAGACAAAATAAGCCCATTGTTATAAAATCGATTATATCCTCACTATAATCTGTGGAAAAAATCTTTTCTAATCCATCATTTTATTGATTATTTTGAAACAAAAATTCATTAATATCTTTTATAATTGACAATAATTCATTGTCTTTTTAGAACTAAATTTGATTATTTTAGCAAAAAATTTGCAAACTTTGCAAGAAATTCTATGCCATGTCTTTTTCAGTTATAACAAACAAGAAGGATAAAAATTCAAACAAATTTTATCGATCCCATCCCCATGTTTATGAAAGTTTGCCCACAACCCTACCAAGACCCCCAACGCGGCTTACAATTTACCCTCCCCCACTCCCCCCGCCTCAATTTTTTTTTACCATTAACGGTGTAAGCGGAGGATTAATGCGTTCAAAATTAAATCCAGGCCAGCTATTTAGTCTTTTTGTTCCGATTTTCGAAGAACACGAAATATTTATGCTTGGTTTAGTTTTTTTGAGTCAATTTTTGGCAATCGAAACAATAGTTTTTAGCAAAAAAATTTTGTGCCTCATTGAAGATATTGGCTTCCTGAAATCAAATTTGAAAACAAATTTTACCTCCGATGATTATTGCAAAGGGTATGAAAATTGCAAATTTGGCCATGCTCTGGACTATTTTATGCGCACTTTGAAAATTTTATCCATAATCTTGAAAGCGTAACGCAAGAATCCTGAAAGCGTAATTAGTTCCAGATCTAACTTCTTAGAACTAAATTCAAAGAATTCAATTAAATTTAACGCGAATTACTTATGCGTGGTAAACTATTCCGCACAATAAAATCGTTTCAAATTAAATTGAGGCTAGCTCGGTCGTATACACTTTGTACAACTCAAGTTTTCACACCTGATTTTTGATATTGTCCAAAGTTTATAGTTTTTTAAAAATTTTTTCCCAAAAATTTATTCGATATGGATTAAGGGGCAGTCGGAACATTTAGGGCCTTGCCCTGATATACGAGCAATCTTGTTAAAACAATGCCAGATATAATGTGTGCGGGATGAAATGAAAAAAAAATTAAAACAAATTCGCTGGTCTGAAAGCGCCGTCAGAATTTTGAACACTTCACCTTGAAATTGTAGCTGTCTTGTTTTGTACTTTATATAGCATGTGGAGGCTGATTTCTACAAAAAATCTTAAATTTTTGTTGAAAGTTTTAACATTCTTTTTTCAATGCAAACACTAAGAGTCAATCGGAGCATTCAAGGTTTCGCCTTGATACGAGCAGTCTTGTTATTTAATGTCAAATATTCAGTTCTAAATTAGTTCCAAATCAAACTTTTTAGAACTAAATTCATAGAGTTCAATTAAATTTATTGAACGCAATAACGGAATTTTACTCTCTTTGTTGGCTCCAATGAGCTTGCTTGGCTGGTGACAGGCGCCATAACAAAGCATCAAAGGCATTAAAACAGTGATTTCAAACCATTTTTCTCAATACTGCTGAAACTTTTGCTACATTGTTGCGACTGATTTCCCATACGTCCTGAGCTGCGTTTTAATTTCCATTCAAAAAAGTCTGACATCACTTGCAACCCCCATAACATCATTTTTACCCATTATATATATTTTTAAGGTGTTTTTTAAGGTTGATATATCTTAACTTTTAAGGTGATTTAAGGTAAATTTTTAAGGTGTTTTAAGGTAAGTTAAGGTGTACTTAAGGTAGTGCAAATTTACCTTAATTGTTAAGGTGTTTTAAGGTATTTTTTAAGGTAAATTTACCTTAACTTTTTTTTGAGTGAGCAAGTGTGGAATAAGTTCAATTATCGGGTCTTTTTTCTCGCGCAAGTCACGGTTCCAGCAACAGCTCAGAAGAGTCTGAGAAAAGTTTATAGCCTTTTCAGTTGTGATTCAAGTCACCATGGCAATTTCTAAAAGAGGTGTTGGTTTTGCCATTATGCTTGTTACATCGCGACCTTCACTGCCGAATTGGAAAAAAATCTAAGATGGAATATTTGAAATACTCAAATACTCTGTTCGGTACTTTTTTTTTTGAAGTTCAATAAAAATAGAAGTACTTTACATAACTTAAGAAATAATTTATTATTGAGGGAAGCTTAACTTTATGATCCATGCGAAAACGACATATCTTTCAATGTTTTTTTTTGCATTTTTTGCAATGGCAATGATAATGTGTGAGGACGAGCTGTCACTTGACCTCTAGCTTCAAGTCTACCACAACCTGACCAATTTAGGCTGCAATAGTGGTACCACGTGGTAGATCTAGACGCAAAAAAAACGGCCTTGAGTCGCAAAAAAAAGAACTTCGCTCAACAAAATAACTCAGTCTGTAATGTAGGAAATAAGAGAAATGGACTAATCTTAGACAGGCTGCAAAGTCTTTCATAGATCCTCTGCGAATCGTAGGGACGACAATTATTTTTTGCGTAACTCATTTTGGTCTTATTGCTCAGCAACCGGTAATTTTTTTCCAAATATATCCCATGTATCCCATATATCCCATATCCCATGTCCGCCTGCCTCAAAACCACCTCAAGATGATTTTCAAAGTCTAGTTTCAAAGTCTAGACGTCTAGTTCCACAAGATGATTTTTTCAAACAGTATTGTTTTCGGCTGTGTTTGAAAATCCACTTCTTTTTACCAGGTATTTTGATACCAGATTCGGAAGAATTAGGTTGTGCAATGCTTCCGTTCACTATAAAAATCATTGAGATTCGGTTAATTTTACCAAGAATTAAATGGTGCTGTTTCAAAAGAAAGTGACGATTTCGACAGAAGTAAATATGTTCAGATGACAACTAAGGTCACTGACCGATATGCGTCTGATGGCCTTGAACTCCATGTAGGTGAGCTGTTCCGCCAGTTCCTTGGGCTCGATGTGTTTGAAAACCAACGGCACTTTCCTCTTCCTCTTTGCCTTGTGCCTCACCGACATCTTGTGCATCCAGTCATACGAAGGCCTACTCACAGAACAGACAGATAAGCTGTAGTTAGCTTAGGGGGACGACCCCTTTCTTAGGGATTCGACCCCTTGAATACCCGAATGGTCCACCTTTGATACTTTTTACGGCATCATTTTTGGTCGACCACCCGCTAATGTACCTTTGGTGCTAATATTTGAGTGGGGAGCGAGCGCTGAAATAAATTCAATTTTTTGGCCCCAAAACTAACCAAAAATGGTGTATTTAGTCTGTTTTTTTTTAAAAGAAAATCTGCCAGCGGCACTAAACGTTTTGCCTATGTATGGTCGGTATATTGTCTATTCTGTTTAGAGGCAGCTCTGAAAATCAGTTTGGTGATTAAAGAGGTGTTTGGTGATTGAATCAGTTTGGTGATTAAAAAAGTGGTCAAAATTTTCATTTTTTGAAAGTTCGCTCCCCTCGAGAAAATTTGAGATTCTACAAATAAGCAAACAAACATGCGAGCCCAATTGCTGTGCAAAAAGTACAGAAGACACCGAAAACAATTACCTTTTTGAATCAATTTATAAAAACACGAAAAAAATGAAAAATGCTCAACTTTCTGTCGAATTATTTGATTTCATATACAACATACCTGAAAATAGAGTTAGTTGCCATTGTTACTGGTAGAAACAAAGTTTTCCTGAGGCTCGCTTGCGCAAAACTATCTAACGAAGAAACTAAATGTTCAGAGTTCTTCATTTTCTGTTTGAAAAAACTCCTTTTATCATTTCATTATGTCGAAGATTGATCGAAAATTATGGAATTATTTTAGTGAAGTTTTTTGATTTGCTATCTTAGCGCGCTAGTTGCATGCTGAAAATAATGGCAATCATCAGGAAAATGCAGCTTGTTAAATTATGAAATGAAGTTTGAGCAATGAATTATTTTACAACTAGCTTGAGCTCTTAACTTCTTTAAGTTGCAACTGAGCTGATGATAAATAATGGCTATTGTTAACAAAATTTTCATACCAAAGAATGAATTAAAAATAAACGAAATTGAGCTATGAACTATTTTACAGAGAACACCAATTTTGCTCCTAGTTTCAAATGAGCTGATCTTGATGGATGTCATCAGCTTAATTTATTAATAATGAATGAAGCAAAAATGGCAGAAACAGAGCAATGAATTATTTTACAGCTAGCATTTTTTGCAACTTGGTTGCAACTAAGCTGATTTTAATGAACTTTATCAGCGTAACTTCTTTGGTTGTGTCATTGAACTATTGTTTTTTTCGACCAAAAATCATCCAAAACTCACTTCCATTCTTCATGAATTTGACCCCCAGCCGACCCAAAGCGTCCCCTTTTTGGTACTTTTTAGGAAATTCATTTTTGGATGACCGACAATAATCACTATGATTTACTTTTTGTTACAACAATATTGCTAAAGCTTATAAGAATTGCATAGTTTGTTTTCATAGACACAAGTCCAAAACTGATAAAATCAAAAAATAACCGACAGAGATTGTGAGCTCTGGAAAATTTAAAAGCTAGATTTTTTTAATTGCCATTTAAAAACATTGAGTCTGAAAATTACTAGTCCATCTTTCTCGATACTGAGAAAAAATGACTTCTCGGTTGAATTCAAATCAAGAGTAAAATATTTTATTTTGCTATCATACTTGTGAGCCCCATACTTGTGATCCCCTGTGAGCTTCTACTGAGGTAGATAACATGCGCGGGAAAAAACCACTTCTTACGCCATATTTCCTTCCCATAGCGTGAAGTGGTCGTAAGAATTAGCTCAAAAATTCTACCAAAGACCTTGACAAATAAACTAAGCTAAAAACCATTGGATTGTTGCTTAGGACTCTTAATTAAAGGATGGAAACTTACACCACGTAAAAAAGCTAAAACAAGAAGAATAATCTGAAGAACACAAAAACTTTGCCATGTTTGAAAGATAGCAAGTTTATATTCGGAATAATTTTGAAGTACCACTTTTAGAAGAGCAGTATAAAATAATAGTGAGCTGATGAAAAATAGTCAACTGTTTTGTGATTTTCCGCAATTAAGGTTTTATGACAATCGAAATGATTATGGTACAAGTTGTTTTTGCTTGCTCCTTATTTGTATTTTAACTTTCTATTAAATTTTTCTCGGCCACCGTTTCAATTGTGTTTTCAATATTGAAAAAAAAAACTCAAAGCAACAAATGATGCTGAAAGCTGCGCTTAGGGCACTGAAAGCTCCAATTACTATTACTTTTGCAAAAATATTGTTTAGAAGACAAATTTCATCTTTTGTTGAATATTTCGAAGTAGAAACTACTTCATTTTTTGACGCAGCATTAGAAAAACGCAAAATAGTATCCAAATACCTTTAGTAACAGCTTCATTATAAAAACAAAGAAAGTCAGTTGTGGTGATAGGAACAGTGTTCCAACCACAAAACTACAGTAAAAATTCGACAAATTTAAGCTTTCTCTTTTTAAGCTTAAATTTGTCAAAAATAAGACAAATTTAAGAAACTGAAAAATAGCTTTCTCTTTTTTGTTTTATTTTACTCAAATTTAATTTTTTTTTCCAATAAGGGGCGACT